AGGAGTCTTTCTGCATGCAGCCTGGCCAGAACTGCACTGTATTTAACCATTCAAAACGTACAGGGAAAGAAATGGGACAGAAAAAGGAGAGATGAATATTTATACGCAAGAAAGGGTGATTATATTTACAGGAAAGACCAGACAGTATTTGATAACTTTTCAGTTATCATTATCTCCTTTTTATCTTCTAAGTCATGGTACACCATTCCTTCTTTTCCCATGCAAGATGTTTTCTTCATCTTTCATACTTAGTGCTGCTCAACAGTTACTAGCCACTCTTCCTATGCTTGACTCATGCAAGATCATCCTCTCAGCCTCACCTCTGCCTCCCACACTGTGCAGAGAATCCTGCAACTACCCTTCCCACTCTGCAAGGGGATCTCTGACAGCTAGCACACAGTGAGTTCGATGCTGAAAGTACAGCACACATGGTAGACACTAAACAATTGAGCCACGTGCATGCAGAGAACTGCCTCTCTGCATTATCACATAGATTCTTCTGCATACACACCCATGCAATATCCAGGTCTTCTTTCTTTCTCAGGTAAAAAGCATTCCTTATTGCTAAAAGAGGGAAGGAGAGGAAGAACAGGTTCACCGTATCTCCTGTTGAAGCATGTAAAAGAAACAGACTTCAATATGATAAGTATGGTTTATTCTGCCCCTACTACAGCCTTGGAATTAGAGCTTCAGCTTTACTTTTGAGTGTTTAAAACTGTAATGGGTATATTCTGGAGAAAGGGGAAGCAGCATCTTTACAATTAGTTCCTTTTTGACCCAACTAGAGTGTCAGATGTAAAACTCTATAACACCATGTTACTCTCAAAACCTTCTTTACCCCTTCATCTTTGTGTGTGTGCATGAAGTTAGTTGTGTGTGTTAATACAATAGTAATTCCAGCCAAAAAGTCCTTGTAATTACTATTACAAAACTGAACCCCAAAAAAGTACATTAAAATAATTACACAACTAGAAAAACTTACTACTTCTAATAAGATAGCTTACAAGCACATGGTGAGGAACACAGTTTCATTTCCATGAGGTTAGCAAAGCAAGATGTTTCATTTTACTTAACCTATGCATATGATTGTACATTGCCTCAGTTACCATGAATGCAAAACGGAATTTATAAATAGGAGGAAATAAATGCAAAAATATTTAAGGAGAGGTTTTATTTCCTTAATATTATTCTCTACATAGCAAAAGAACTAAAAAATATTTTTGTAAGCAATACATGTCATGACCATGACAATTCAAAGCAAGCTATGGTCAGATTCTTAACAGTAAGCACCATGCATTCATGCAAGACCAACACATGCACAAACACACAATATAATTAAGACAACTGTCTGTGTGTAAGCTTATCACATGCACATGTGCCTGAGCAGCTTATATATATGTAACTTGTTCATTAGGTTTGCGTATCTGTTTTCCTCTTCTATTTTTCCTGAAGGGAACAAGACCAGAAAACAACAGCTCACCACCAGGTAAAACACTTTTCAAATTTCCCCACACAAACTGATTCTGCAGTTCTGTTCCAATCTACATTATCACATCTCTTTAAAGCTAGAGTCTCCTCTGAACTACAGTTTCCAGACACGCAATTTTAAAGTATTTTTAAAAGCTGTACAAACATTCTTTTAAACGATAACAATTTACAGAGAAAGTGTCTATATGGATCATAACTAAGAGTTGACATCAAATTCTTACAGGTGAAATTGGTTCATGGAGTTAGATTTCAGTATGTGCTTTAAGTAGTGGTTTAGATATATATATACATATATATTTATTTCTATGAATTGAAAAAGATAATAACCATCTTTTAACAAAGCAAACCACTTTGCCAATAAAAATAAACAATCTATTACCTTGTTTTAGGAAATTCCAAATAATAATTATACAATGCTTTTCATTTTGGAGTCAGCAAAATTATAATTTTGTTGACAAAACAGACCAAATAGTACTTGATATTCTAAGACTTCATCTAATTTCTGTCCTGTCCTCAAAAATCATAGATGCTCAGAAATATGACACAAACAAAAACATTACAACAGTGGAAGACTATATAATACAGAACAAGTATAGCTGCAGCCATTCAAACACAGTACGTGATATAAGTGAAATGAGACACAAATTTAAGTCCATTTAAATGAGCACACTCACCTCTTTCCTATCCTGCTAACACTTTTGGAAAATTGACACACTGAGTCCTGAATGTATATGTATGTATGAAAGGCTCCAATTTTAGGTTCCCTCTTGTCTTTTTCAGTATTAATGTTTGTGCAGTTTTCATCATGCATGTAAACCCTGCTAAAGTAACATCTCCACACATGTGCAATGTCCTCCGCCACCCACCCCCCCCCGCCACTGCAATGAAAATATATGGATGTATTTGCCAATATAAGTTTATTTTTATAATGGACTATCATCCTAGGCTTTCCAGCGTGGATATTGAATGTTTTTCATTTGGAAAATACAGTCTTCATTGGCCTTCTGCCAATGCTCCTGATATATTTTCTCAAGTATTCTTAGAGAGAAATGAAAAAAAGTCACTATCCTCCTATTAAAAACTAGGTGCTATGGAGATTAAATGGCACATTTAAAATAGATACAAACCTAAACCAATAAGCTTTGCACATAAACTGTTCTTTAACTCTTCCTAATACACCAGAACAGAGACAGACAAATGCCTTCAATCCACACAGGCATATTATATTCCAAACAACATGGAAAGTTAAAAAGAAAATCTCAACTATCAAACACTTCAGATATACCCTTCTTAAACACTACATTTCTTTCAAGTATTTTATTTTATAACATCTATTAACAGGTTATATACTATTCCACATAACCACCATAAACCTACCACTTCTCTGTATCTAACATCTGCTGATTTTTTAAAATTCTCATTGATTGACTGGATTTTCATCTAGTCAGCTGAATTTAGTCTCAGACATGCTTTATGGTCCTTATTTTTTGACAAATAAGTTAAAACTCTAACATTTTAGTACGTTATAAAAAATATAAAAATGGAATATATCATTATAGGTTTATTCTAAAAACAGCTTTTAAACTTCCAAGTTATAAGCAAGGAACAACTAGATACAGTACAGTACCAGCTTCAAACAGGAAAGATACCATAGATGACAAAGCAAGCAGAACACAAAATGCTACAACACATACATTTAAAGACATTAAAAGTTGCTTTGATTTAGCAGTTCAATGAGAAAATGCACCAGAATGTCTACCACCAAGGGTACATATTGAACATTATGTTGCTGTAACTTATCTATTATCTTTATGGTAAGAAAATGTAATATAAGTGTTAATACCCAAATAAAATTATAAGAAAAATGACTTCCTCATCCAAATGACTATGATGACATGAGATTTAGCCATAATCCCTTTTTTTTTTTTAACTTCCCTAGGAGTAAAACCATAAAGAATTATGTGACTTATTAATGACTGATCTAAAAAAAGTGTATCAATTTTACTTTTGTCTATATAACAATTTATTTCAGATACACAAATACAGAAGTGTTAGCTTGGAAAAAATAGCTTTCTAAACAGAACAAAATATTAACTTAACACATCAGAAAAACAATACACATGAATCTCTGTAGCTACCCAGTTTTTAAAGTATCAGTGAGCAGCAGCCGAATGCCATTTCTTTCAATTAGACAAAAAATATTTCACAGAGAATCAGTTTATGGTATTCACTTGCCTACTTTGGAAAAGTTAACCTTTTGAACCATTCTTAGGGTATGCTGACCCCTAAAGGTCTAAAAATACTAAATCTGATTAAGTCATTACACATTTAAAGTACAGATTGTCAGAATACAATCTCTAACTAAGTTACTCGACCATGACTATTTTTGTTTTCAGAGTATATGATTCAAAAACATTTTTAACTTCACTCAGTAATAACTCAAAATTCCATTGATTAAAAGGTACAAGTAGTTTATTTTACACAATAATATAGATACAAATTCCTTTACATACGTAAGAAATGTATCATCTCCAAGACAGAGTATTTTTTCTTTCTTCTAAACAATGGACTGTCCATGAGAAACTTGACATTTATTATCTCTTGAGAAGGAATACATAGTATAAAAGTCAAAAAACCAAAGAAAATAAATGAGATGCTCTGATATAGGAGGCATCTTTGATGTTGACACACCTATTCAATCCTTTTTTTAACCTACACATAGCCACTTACTGGAAAAAAAATCCAACCTTTTATGATGTACTGAAGGTCTCCTTCCTGTGTCTTTCCCTTTCTTCAATCTACACAGTATTATCTAGTCACAAGCCCCTTTCTGACAATTCTCTTCTGTAAAGTCAGTCACACATAACGTGCTCTCAAAGTCAGTGCTTCTTTTTTTGCCTTTTTTTGGTTTGTTTTTTTTTTTTTTTTTTAGTTTCTGTAATGAAACATAGAAGAATGTATCTGAAAGCACAATTTTGGTCACCCAAATACAAAAAGATCCTTCCATCCTGATGGAGATGAAAACTCCATGAACCACAGAAGTTCCAAGTTAAGCAATGCTCCTTTTACCTCCAAGCCTACCTTACCGTCCGTATTCAGTTGAGGTAATAATGAGATACTCGTTAATGTTAGTAGATGGCTTACTTATACTCTAGCCAGGCATGAATAGCTGTGAAAGTTACTTTAAGACATACTTCAAATTTGTTGTTGACCCATTAAGAAAAAAGGGTTGGAAAGTAAAGTGCAATATACAGACTAAGAATTTAAATAAGACTTCTAAAAGTTGTAAAAAACATTTTTCAATAGCCCAGAAAATAAAGCTGATGTTTTACATTCCTGTAGCTGTTCCCCTGTTACCCCAAATACTTTTAAGAGGCAGTGTGTGGTTGTGGGTTTTTTTTTTCTTTTCTTCCAAAGTCAGTCAGATATCGGCAAGAACAAATACATTCCAGTCACTGCCTAGCACTGGTACAACACCTGAGGTTCCTTATTAAGATCTTAAAAGTCCTTACCTTTTGACCAGTTCTCCATTTGTTCTTCTGAACTTGTTTGATCTGGCACCGAATCCAGTTTTTGCTTGAAGATTTCAGAGCTAAAATAAAGCAAACTCTAGATAAATAAACTTGAAACAATATATTATAACACATATATACTTTGTCTTCATTTGACAGAAAATTTAGAAGACAAATGATTTAAAAATATTTACAACAGGACAATGAAGTCTGTGTACTTTAACAAACAGTGCGAAATCATATTTTTTAGTAAAATATTTTTTCTTCACACATCTAATTTTATAATGGTTTCGTTCAGCTTTCTGTTGTGTGTAACACCTTCACTGAAAAATTTATTAGTTTGTCGTCTTGTTCTAGAGTCCAGTCTTGGAAGTGCATGCTACTGAGCACAGCCCAAATCACACTGAGTGGTCCCCACTAGAGGCAATGAGACTGCTCACTTTAGTAATTATTACAGATGGTGCTATGTGCTTCACTTTACAACATTCTTTCTCTTGCTTTAATTTCCTGGATAAAATACATGTAAAGTGGCCCATGAACATTCCAACTCTGAATTTGTAGGTTTTTCTAAACAGCTAAATAATCCATCCTAATATTTGCATACATATTGCTTTAGACTATACAAGTTAATTACACAGTTGCAGTATTTCATATAATCAAAGATCTTCAAAAAACCCTCAATACTCAAAAATAAGACATACAGTAAAATGTTATGCTTATCAGCTAACATACTGAGTGTTAAAATATACACTCTCTTCTATGTTAAAAATTCAACTATATTCTAGATCTCAAGGAAATCTAAAGAAATTTGTAATCTTGCTAATATAGTATGCTTACCACCAATATTATGACTTACTCAAGAACATCTTTTAAAATTCATTGTACAAAGGACAACTTTTCGTCTTTAACTATGTAGTTGTGCTTATTTTGTATGTTTTCCCTTATATATTTTCTATATTTATTAAAAAGATACAACATGTGCCTTGAAGAGACAGTGGCTGGATCATGAAAAAAAACAGAGTTGTCATTGTGCTGATGAATGTAAGAGTCAAAAAAAAAAAAATCAAGTACACATTTTAAAATTCAAGTATATTACACCAAGATATATGTTCTAACTAATAAAACAGCAGAAGAAATTATTTTCCTATACACTAAAGGCAGATGTTTTCATTTTTATCTCTGAGATTATAAAAAGGCATAATTATGCAAGCACTTAAGATTCAACACTAATATTCACATTAAGCAGTCAAGAAATACATGTTTAGTTAATATTTGTTGTTAACTATAAATATGCATGATAAAAAAAAAAAAAGGTGTATGATTTGATGTGCTTAGGTCTTAACCAAAAGTAACAACTTCACCTCATATTGCAGAACACTGAGTTCCTTACAAGAATCCCTCAAATGAAGCTGTATGCTTCTTTTTCAATTCTGTGTAACTGTGTTGATTTGGAGTTGGCAATCTTTTCCTAAGTTCCTCATTTACTTTTGGATTAGCTGAAAATATAGAAGGTTATTAATATCAAGAAATAGGTTTCTGTCAATGAAGCCATTTCCCTACATATTGCACAAAAAGGTTCATAATAATTGCAGTATTTTAATAAGAGATTCATATAGCAAGACATGAAGAAAATACGGTATTTAATAACCTCTGGAGTATTTTAAAACATGTCTTAGGGCCTTAATGTGCCTAGTAATATACTATTTAAAACCATAATTTTATCCCTCCACAATATACAGTCATTCTTCCTCGCCATTTACCCAGCTAATGAATGCCAGCAATTAGTAAAATGTAATCCCATTGCACAATCATTTTAATGCTTTTAGCACTCAGAAAAGTAAACACCAAATTAATACTGCTCAAGCCATATCAGATCCTAGTTGGAAGCAAGCAATTATAGTTCAGCTCCTCAGGTGTAATTAAATGATTGGAATGATTTAGTTCCATAAATGCAAGTTAATTCATAAGCAAGCAACAAATATACTGGGAGTAATTACAAGAAACATTGACAGTCTAAGCAGGGCATGTGCCTTCATGTACCTGATGTAGGAAAATGCTGCCCTCTCCTGGAAATAATAGACTATGGCACAAGAATAATTGGAGCCAGAAGTCAAGAGGCTCATTTTACAGACTTTGTCTTCATAGGTGAAATATGTTCTGATAATTAATAGGAATTTTTCAGTTTACCCATACATAAATAAAAACATTGTTGATATCAGATTAAGGCAACCTATCTATCAAAGTAAAACAGAAAGACCTCTTGGGGCTCCCTAGGGTTTGCAGTATACTTCCCCTATTATTAGAAATAAAAACATGCATATATAGAAAAACAAAATATTCTATACACTAACTATGGAAATCGGTTGTTCTGAACACAAACTGCAATAGGTACCTAACTTATGCACAACACTTACATAGCATTCGAGATGTACCTTTACAGTAGGTACTTTGAACATAAGGTATTGTTAGAACCAAAACTTACTGAACCATCATTATTCAGACAGTGTTAAACTGCACCGCATAAACAACAATCAGAAGCTGGCCATGAAGGCTGGCCCAGGACGAATCATCAGAAAAATTAAACACAATTTTTTAAAAGCTTTTCTTCACTTTCATATGAAGACAATCTGTTAATAATCAATCTGTCTAACAAACAAAAGGAATAAAAGTTGGAGATTAAAATAAAGTATATTGGTAGATTGAGACAGAACTGAAAATACAAAAGGAAACTGTAACCCAAAATCTAGAGTTAATTTTACATCTAGAATTAATTTCCTTATTCACTGTCTATTTATTCAACCTGTGTTAGTGTTAAGACTACTATGTGAACATCATGCAAAGAAAGCTAAAAAATAGACCTTATCTGTTGAATTTAATATGCAATAGTCACGTAAAATTCACACTAAATATTTAAATACAAAACCACCTACAAATATGAATATAAATTAACCAGTAGCTTCCTACTAATGAAAGAAATCCCCGATCAACCTATTTTTCCTTCTACAGAAATAACAAATGCTTCCCAGTGCTGCATATAGCAGCATGGGAGAAAAATCATACACTGTGGTCAGTATACGACTGTTTTCCACACCGAGAAACTGACTGTAAGAAAGCTCAATTCAAAAGCACCTAATCACTGTAAAAGCCTGAAATTGTTCTTCACCAATAGCACTTTGGCATCAAAATATTTATTTGTTTCAGATCTTAGTGTATTTCAAAACAAACCCAAGCTGTACACAAATACCTTCACTGTTACTTTACTTACTGGGGAAATGAGATAAATTATTTTAAGAAGTCATATTATTAAAAGTTTAAAATGTACAGCACATTTGCTTTGCCCTTTGATGTCACAGTCCTATTTTTCTATTCAAATCTTGTACACTGTAAGTTAATTGCTTTTGGAAACTACTTATTATTCATGTAAAAATTAATGTGCCAATGTGTTTAAATCCTTTTAAATGACCATTCATACATCTTTCTTCTTTAAGTACCAATGGAATCTGTCAAAGATATCAATGCAAGATGGTCTTAGAGAAAGTTCTAATAAAGATTTTTTTCTGCTAACATAAGATTTTCATTTTCGTCAACTTTACTTAAATTCCATTAATTTTTTAAGCTGCTTTTAATAAATTCACAAGTAAAAAATTTTAGGCTCCATAGTCTGTCATTTGTGTTCCAGCTGACTTTATGAATATTAATAACAGTGTTATCCTGATTAAATAGGCTTCATATAAAATCCCTGTGAATCCTATAGCTCAGACATCTCATTTTTCCAACTCTTTATGAATTTGGATTCAGACATTAAACTGGAAAAAACCTTAAAAAACAGATTCAATGGTACATTTGTGTACCCTTAAGCAAAACATTAGATGTTCTAATGATTCAAATAATTAAAATTGATAGGACCACATACTGAGATTTCAGGCTTTCTGTAAATATGCAACATATTTTAACTCTAATGAAAACATCAACACAGAACAAAGGATTAAGAATCTATTATAAAATAATAATAATGTCTGTCCTTATCCTTACCTTAAACAACAGATGACATGATCTTAACTCTTCATATATGGAGTGCTGATTTGCAGAAGTATTTCCCAAAGAGAAAGAAATTAGTGTATACTTAATTACATAAGCATACACATGAAATACATGAACAATCTACTTTAGCTCGGGTGTCCAGTGAAAAACAGGATTAACTTTTAATCGGTTTATATGTCAGCAAAAACAACCTTTTTCTAAAGAATGTCAAATTGAAGCACACAGGAAATTTTAACATTGTCCTACAAGACTCATGCAGTCACAGTTTCAAACTGTCAACTTCTTTCCACACCTACATGTTAGAATTATTTACATCTATGACAAAATAGGAAAACTAAGCTCACTGCACTGCCATGTCACTTTTTTTTTTTTTCCCATATATAATGCTAACTAAAATTACTACTTTCTCATTCATTCAGGGATATATTCTGCAAAGATGGCAATCAAAGTTTTTTGCCTTTCAGTACCCTGAAATATAAATGGCTTTTAGGAGAAAACAAAAACTAAACAAAATAATGGCTTATTCAAAAGGATGGCATTCCAGTCCTGGTTCTAATTACTCATCAACACAGATACTTAACAGGAATTGAGTAAAAAAAAGTAATACATAAAAATAACATAGATCTGCAAGGTAAGAAGTATACAGTACTTTACTTCTGCCGTTCTGAATAGCTTTTATTACAGCTATGGTGGTATTTCCACTTTCAGAGGAAAAAAACAGCACAGTGTCCACAGAATGTACAAGGCAGCACCCCACAGTAACACCAGCTTTCAACCATCTGAACAGTCATGTTGACCCAAGGTATTTAGATTAGTGACAGCCTGCTGTAGCTGCCAACACTTTCTCCCTGGGCAGGAGATCGGCAAGTCCATCTTCTAAACTAGAGTTCAGTTACTGACTCCCCTTCCCCAGAAACAAAGAGGCTGTTGAGACTCTTCCATATGGAGCCCTGACAACTGAAAACCCCCGTTCCTTGGTCTTGCCTTGACAGATTTTGAAGACAACCCCTGAATTACTGCCTTAGCCACTGGGACAGGAAACAAACCATTGCTGGTGTTGACTGAATTCACCTGCTCTTCACAAAAAGTCCTCAGGTCTTGGGAGAGTTTTTCCACAGTGGGGGCTACCCACCTGCTCTGCCTCCGGTGGAACGAGAAATCAGTTCCCACCAACCCTTGGAATGGCACCAAGCCAGCCTTTGTCCCCCTAATGATGCAGCTGACAATTGCCATTGACAGTGCAGTGCTGGAGCTATGTAAGGGAGGGAACACCATATACTTTAGGACAGGGAAATAAAGAATGAATTTTAGCATTATTTTCGTTAGATTAATTAGATTACCAGGGTCTCTTAAAATATCCTGAAACGTTTTGCCTCAGGGCAAGTTAGAGCAAAAAACTTCATTTAGGATGGTATATTACATAAAAACCAGTTACCTTCTGTTCCCCTAGGGAACAGTTTTCTTAGACCAGGTGGATGCCAAGTTTTATGGAGGAGTGTATCATTGCATCAAAAGAGCCATATTTGCTTTCTACCTTAAAGTTTATGGCAAATCAGAAATTTAAGACAACCCAAAATAAGTTAAAATTAGATTTGGGTAGTTACAAAAATACTAGTCAAAGTATAACTGAAATAGCTACTTAAAATATTTGTCAAACGTGGAATAACACCCATTTGTTAGCTATTTGAAAGCTGTAAACCGAAACATACTTGGGTATTTGATTACAGAAGTACTTATTTTATTGCATTCTATTACTTTTTAAGTTTTTAAATACAAATAGTTCATGCAAAATATTATTTCTTTTTAAAAGAATATAAAATATAGGCAAGTGGATTAACCCCATAAGTGGATGAATGCAGCATGAGTAGTACTTCAAATTTAAAACTCCAGCACTGCTACAAAGACTTCAAGGTTTGGGTTTATAGAAGTAACTGCATTATCTGGAAGCTTCATAAAAACACTTTCCCAGAGGGCAGAGTCATGTAATAACGACTGGCTTTTCTCCCCTACTGAGCCTTGGCCCCAAAGGAGATGAGATATTTGCAGTTGCAACTTCTATAAATCAGAAAAGATATGGAGCACCCAATTTTTTCCCATTTGCTACATGACTGGATGATGTGGCATTAGACCAAATGTTGAATGCTGGTTTGCACACCATCCTTCAGTAAACCAAAACTGGACCACTGATACAGATATTTCACCTCCCCTTCTGAAAGTAGTTGCCTCAAGCCCCACAAAATCCACCTCTCTCTCAAACTTAAGAAAATGTCACTGTGACTGAAGAGCTCCAAAGACAACTATGGAAATGATTCAAGAACCATTTGAGTCTACAGTGCTTATGTTTGCAAAATTCATTGTACAGTATATTCAGTATCTTGAAGTTCCCAATTCATAATTTCTTTTATCAGAAATAGGTTGCTAGCCTAGTTTTTAGCATAAAAGCAAAAATAAAGTC